GCTTTGCACAGTTTGCCTCGTGTTGGTTTGCAATTTCTTTGGAACTGCGTAACCCATTTCTTTAGGATGCATTCTTTGTTTTTTTATAGAAGTTGACCCACAGGAATATTCTTTAAATGCACACTATGTAGGAGGCAATAAGGACATACAAAAGAGGGTTTAACAGGACAATCTAACTAGTGTGTATTTATAACATTTATATACTGTTCACCAAAGGAGGCCATCATTGTGTCACATCCTTAATTTGACCAATCAGCATCTCAGGTTTCCCGAAGAAAGGTCAGAGTGAAGATGTCGAGTGTGCAAACTAACAATGTCTCCGAGGAGGACAGAATAGCTCTCTCTCTCTCTCTCTCCTGGGGTCTTACATTCTAGGTTTCCCTCCCATCATTATACTGTACACACACACACACACACACACACACACACACACACACACACACACACACACACACACACACACACACACACACACACACACCCTGACGCTGCACTTTTACCCAGAGCGCCTCAGTGGAATTCCAGTCTCCCGGTCATGTGTAAGTTTAGTCTCTGCTGAGAGGACTCGTAAATAATACTCTCTTTATCCTCGCTCTCTATTTTTGTTTCTAGGTCTCTGTCTGTTGTGTTCTCTCTCTCTCTCTCTCTCTCTCTCTCTCTCTCTCTCTCTCTCTCTCTCTCTCCTCTCTCTCTCTCTCTCTCTCTCTCTCTCTCTCTCTGCCCCCCCCCCCCCCCCATGAGGTTTGTGGTTTGGCTGATTTCTGCCTCTGTGGAAAATCCCCCCTCTTCTGCGAACAGCCGTGGTGCGATCCTGTGGTTCTGGGGCTAAAACGGGACAAACCATTTCACGCAGCTGGGGGTTGGAGGGGTCACATAGCTGAGGGCAGGTTCACGGGGTCAAACATCTTCCAGTGTCCAAGGAAAACTCAAAATGATGCAGCGTGGATAGATTAAAACGGTGCTGCAGGACTAGAAATGACTTTGCATTTTACCTCGTCTGAAGGTCAATGGTTTTCTGAATGTGTTTTTGGATTTGTTAGACTGAAATAAGGTCTGTGGTTAACACAAGATAATGAGATTACTACCACATAAAATACGTCAGTAAATACCCCACTGTTGAATTTTAAAATGGGGGCTGCTAACAAGTGTCTAAATGAGACGACTAAACATCATCATGCCCAACATTAGCCTCCTTTAGCTTAGCGGTGGTGTCGTGAAGTCATGTGACCGTGCTGTAGTTCCTTTATAGCCCAACATTAGCCTCCTTTAGCTTAGCGGTGGTGACGTGAAGTCATGTGACCGTCCTGTAGTTCCTTTATAGCCCAACATTAGCCTCCTTTAGCTTAGCGGTGGTGACGTGAAGTCATGTGACCGTGCTGTAGTTCCTTTATAGCCCAACATTAGCCGCCTTTAGCTTAGCGGTGGTGCCGTGAAGTCATGTGACCGTGCTGTAGTTCCTTTATAGCCCAACATTAGCCGCCTTTAGCTTAGCGGTGGTGACGTGAAGTCTTGTGACCGTGCTGTAGTTCCTTTATAGCCCAACATTAGCCACCTTTAGCTTAGCGGTGGAGACGTGAAGTCATGTGACCGTGCTGTAGTTCCTTTATAGCCCAACATTAGCCGCCTTTAGCTTAGCGGTGGTGACGTGAAGTCATGTGACCGTGCTGTAGTTCCTTTATAGCCCAACATTAGCCGCCTTTAGCTTAGCGGTGGTGACGTGAAGTCATGTGACCGTCCTGTAGTTCCTTTATAGCCCAACATTAGCTTTTTACTTCAAAAATCATGATGCCCCTTAAGAGATCCTACATATTTTGCATTTAAATATAACACATTTGCAAAGGCAGGTACAGTAGTGGTTCCTCAGTCAAACTTGACCTACAGTAAGTGCATATTTTTTAAGATCCAAAGGAGATATTCGATATTGCTGTGATTACCATCAATAATGTTTGGATGCAACAGGTTGTATGGTTCACTTTTCGACAAGGTTTAAGAATGTTGAGCCTTCTTGAACATTAGCAGGTTTTAATCTATGCACCTTCCCACGACAATCTGAGAATAATTAACAGATGGAGGATGACAAGTCGTTGTTCTTCTCAACGTGACAAAACGAAGTCGAGACAAAGAGCTAGCAGTCTGAATTTCGCCCTGGGTGAAAACACACACACAAAACACAAACACCACACACACCACAATCTCTCATCCTCTCTCACCAATGGAAATAATTGTCGTTGAGCAATATTAAATCATTTGAAATATAAGGGGAAAAGATGTGTGTGTGTGTGTGTGTGTGTGTGGTGTGTGTGGTGTGTGTGTGTGTGTGTGTGTTGTGTGTGTGTGATGTGTGTGTGTGTGTGTGTGTGTGTGTGTGTGTGTGGGTGTGTGTGTGTGTGGTGTGTGTTGTGTGTGTGTGTGTGTGTGTGTGTGTGTGTGTGTGTGTGTGTTGTGTGTGTGTGTGTGTGTGTGTGTGTGTGGGTGTGTGTGTGTGTGTTGTGTGTTGGTGTGTGTGTGTGTGTGTGTGTGTGTTGTGTGTGTGTGTGTGTGTGTGTGGTATCAGAGTGCCCCCTAGTGGACAATGAGGTATGTCATGTGAGAATCTGAGTATACAGTAATCTGTCATTGCAGATTTTATCAATGTATTTAATTTCTGCTGCTTTAATTTAACAACGATCCAGCTGTTACAAAACCATGATGGAAACAATGCTGGTTGGGATCGAGGGTATATACTGTACAGTATAAAAGGTGCGTGCTATTTCTAGTGTGGTTTGTGTGTGTGTTCAGTAACACAGATTGAATTGTTTCATGTGAGTGTTTGTGAGAACTGGCTGAGCAGAAAATAGCATCAGATGCCTCGACCTCCATTAAATGTGTTTGTGTGTTTAGGTGGATTACACAGGTGACTGAACACACACACACACACACACACACACACACACACACACACACACACACACACACACACACACAGATGCATTATCTATTAAAAGAGAACACATTTAGATCCAGATAACCAACAGAATACTTTATTTATAACGGGGGGGAAATTGGGTTACGTGAAACTGTCTCCATTTTAGAATTACAAATAAATAAATAAACAGAATTAAAAAAATATGTATCACAGGAAAATTAAATAAAATATCCAATAAAAGATTAAAAAAATAACTAAATATAATAATTTATTAAAAAAATTCAAATATAATTAAGAAAATAATCTACAAGTTTAATATGTATTATAATTTCGAAGCTCACCTTACACTTCATGTTATATTTAAATTGATAAACTCTCTCTGTATCTCCTCCTCTCAGCACACCACAGTCCTGCCCTTCATCATCATCGAGATGCGGACGACCCGCCACCGATACCCCAGCAGGTTGTGGGGTCTGGCCGCTGTTTGCTGCTTTGGCATCGGATACATCCTCTGGTAACAATACGTTTTCCTTTTTCCTACAGTCCATAAACACCACAATACAAAGGCCCTGTGTGTGCTGTGGTTTTCCCTTTCCTGTAGTGTTCTATAGGTTTTAGTGCATGTAAATGGTCTGCAAAGGCTAAAATCACTACTGCCACTGCAGCACGTAGCACGGTTTAAGCCCGGCTCGCTTTCTTTTGCTTTTCCACTAGGGGTAGTTCCGGCTCAGGGCTACTTTTTCACCTTTTTTCTGGCCCTCCAAAATCGAGGTTCTTACCGGGCCAACAACCGGGCTGAGTATGCTAAACTAGAGAATCGCTGGCAAGGGGGCTACAACTACAACAAGATGAACATATTTTACCGGGATTTAATTGTAATACACGTTTCAAAATGATGCCGAAGTAACAACATACTGATACCGGTTAGTAACAACCATGAATTAATGCTTTGTCAAGTCTGCAGACAGACGGCAGGCGAAACACCTTTTAAAATGCGTGTTGTCTAAATGGAGATCGGCTAAGCTAACACAGTATATGCTCCGACCGTCCACACTCACAACAACGGCCTATACAGACATAATAAAGGCAGCGACTGTATTCACCATGACACAGACAGTCTGTGGTTTGTACTTGTTTAACTTTTGTCTTGTTTCTGAACAGATATGAGGAGCTGTGAGCTCTGAGTGCTAACAGCTAACGGCTGATGTTTTGGTTTTGTGGTTCGCATTGAAGATGACGTCACCGCAGTTTTACGCAGCGTCGCTCCGCCCGCCGAACAGCCAATCGCCCCACCTACCCTGCGTTACTATAGTTACTACCCCTGTTGGTAAACTGTAATGGAAACGCAGCATAAAGTGAGCCTGGCCTACCAAGGCCTAACCATACCGTACTAAGCCGTGCGAGGTCCTGCAGTCATATGTGATATTTTATCTAGAATATTTTTCTGCTTGATTTGGTTCAAGAGTTACATAAACTGGGCAAATCAAGAAGAGAGTAAAAGGTTATTTACTTAACTACTTGTTTGGTTTGGGTTAAAGGAGAACGTTCTGGGTGATTCTAGCTGTTTAAATTAGTAAAATCCTCAGTTAATAATTACACCCCCCTTGATTTAATTATTTCATTCTTGATCTTCTCTTAAAAACTTCCCAAATAAACCCCCTAATTGTGGGTAACATATTAACCCCACCTTCCTGTCCCCCCCCACAGGACGTGTTGGGTACAGCAGGTGACGGGCGTCTGGGTTTACCCGGTCCTTGAACGCATCACTCCTCTGGCTCGGATCCTGTTCTTCAGCGCGATGACCGTCGTGATCTGTGTTTTCTACACACTCGGAGAAATCCTCAACACCTACATCTGGGACCAGGCACACACAGGTACACACACACACACACACACACCACACATACACACACACACACACACACACACACACACACACACACACACACACACACCACAACACACACACAACACACACACACACACACACACACCCACCCTTTACTGTCCTCTGACTCCAGTTTCTTTCTTCTCTGTTTCTTTCGCTCAGGTAAAGTGAAAGGTGAGTGATCTCCTCCAGAGGGCGAGTCGACCCCCCCCCCCACCGGGACAGCACAAGAACAGAAAACAAGCGACCTCTCTGGAAGTGGAAGAAAAATAAACATTTACCTTTGGACTGAAACACAACAAACAACACCATAGAAGTAGATAAATAAACAGCTAAATGTAAATACAGAAGAAGAAGAAGAAGAAGAAGAAGAAGAAGAAGAAGAAGAAGAAGAAGAAGAAGAAGAAGAAGAAGAAGAAGAAGAAGAAGAAGAAGAAGAAGAAGAAGGGAACGAAGGAAGACGCCGCTTTTGTTTTATCATGTTTGTGTTTGTTAGTGGCTAAAACATCGTGACACACACACACACACACACACACACACACACACACACACACACACACACACACACACACACATTTACAGTACGTGTTATCTACTTTTCTGGTATGAAAAGTTATTATCTAATGAGACACACTAGATGTACTGAAAGAAGTTAATGTTGGTACAAAATCAATAAATTTGAGTGGAAACTTTTCGTGAAGTTTGGATCCCGAGTGCAATCTTAATCTAAAGGTAATGAAGTCTGTGTGGAATTGAAATTGGACCCTTTCACTTTGTATAAATAAGTCTGAGTAAATACATCCACTATTATGGTTTAAAGCAGAGCAAAACAGGAAATCCTTACACTTGAGAGGCAGAAAACCGCCTGTGTTTGCTGCAGAAATGACCTGAAATCAGGGGCGTGGGAACCTCCGGCCCCCGGGCCGTATACGGGACCGCGAGACCATTTGGTACGGCCCTCGAGGTAATTTATAAACACACGCAAAAAAAAGAAAAAAATTAAAGGGGACCTATCATGCAAAATGCACTTTTGTACGTCTTTTCTACATGAATATGTGTCCCCGGTGTTCCAGGGAACTCACCAAGTGTCAGAAAAACACAACCTCTCTATTTTCCTCCATACCCAAATCTCTAAAAAAGGGGCTGCAACGGATCTGATAAAAACTGATCCAGATTTGAACACTGTCCTGACGTCAGGACGGTGTGGCGCTACGGCTATTGGGCCAAACTCCACCAATCAGGAGGAGACCCGCATGGCCATTGCAGTTCGAAAGTGCTGGAGACGCTGTAGTACATATGCCAGGCCTGTATAGTGGCGCTGTTGTAGTCTGCCACAAAAGCAGCGAAGAGACTTGGTTACCATGGTTACCTTCTGTTATTCTCCGCTGTGGCTTTTTTTTCTCCCTCCCCGAGGCAAGCGTTTGCCTCCCGGCTGCTTTAATTCAATGCAATCCCCTCCCCGTCGAGGCAAGCATTGTAATTCTCTCCGGTTAGTCCACCAGCAGATGACAAACACCCACCTCTCCGCCTCTTCCAAGGAACGAGGGGGACCGTGCTGGCAGGTTTCAGTTTCAGTTGTTTCGCCGGTCTTTCAAAGGTCTTGTTATTTATTGAGCTTTAAAACAAATGAATAAAGACTCTATATAATAAAACACGGAGGACGGAGATCCTCTTTTCTCCCCCTCTTCTGACAGCCCAGCAGGCTGATCAGAGCACGTCTCCCCTCTCCTGCAGGGGGGCGTGGTCAGAGAATCAGACCCGTAGACAGCAAACAGCTCACATAGAGCGAAATGAGGCATGGCTAAAGGCATGATCTGTTTGGTATTTCGAAAACAGAAACGTATAAATATACCTTATATAGGTATGGCCCTACAATATATCATTTAAATATAGCATGATAGGTTTCCTTTAAAGAAATCTAGACCGCAAAAAAATTAAACAAGCGAGTGCCTGTTCTTCCTGGCCAAGGTCAGGGTCCTTGAACACAACATGTGTCATCACGTGGTATATGGTCTCGTCTGATAGGGGTGCAGTTCTGGACGGAGAGCTACCAGTACGCCGCTCCGGCACTTCAGAAATGTCAGTACGATAAGGAGCCGTACACATGCTGCAGTTTCTGCGTGGCTGTGTCTTTAGCTGAAAGCCCAGTGGAGATCTGTTCATCTGGCATACTGATCATACAGTCAATAACTTTGTTGTTATTAGCATCTGGTTAGCTAGCTATGCTAACGAATATAAGAAGCTTTTTCTACAACCAGTGAGGTAAAGGCACATCTTTATATGATCATTATAGTTATAAAAAAATAACAGAATAAAGTAAACAGGTATAAAATACTATATGACATTAAAAAAAAGTTGTTATTAATAAACAAGAATACAGTTTAAAAGGAGAGTGATTTGTAAAATATCCATAAAGAAAAATAAATCTGCTTACAGTTCTGTTTCATATGGGTGTTGAGAAATGTATCCATAGATCTCTCAATTTTGCTCTCAAAGTGCACCAGATTGATGCTTTTAACTTCAACATTTAAAAAAAAATCTTCCCGGGGGAGCATCCCCCCGGACCCCCCCTAGAGGAGGTTAGATCCCCCCCCCCCCCCCCCCCACTTAAATCATGTCCACATGAATAAGAAACTAAATACATTTGCACACATCTTGTGTCCATATCTTTCTGTTTTGGTGGTCATGCCACAGCCGTGCATGTGCACGCGCGAGTCATGGTGAGATATCTGGATTAAGAGATTGCTTTTTCTTTGCACAGCATGAAAGAAAGGCCAAATGAATGGGCTGTGATTTTAGTTTTTTTAAGCAGAGGTCAATCATTTGTACGGCCCTCGGAGGATGTTGAAAAAGTTGAAATGGCCCTTGAGAGGAAAAAGGTTCCCCACCCCTGATCTAAAGAGTTTAAATGAAGTCTTTAAAATATCCCCAAAACCCCGGGTTTTCTCGTGTGAAAACCCTTTTTAGTTTAAACTCAACTAAACCTTTGCCACTGCTGTGACTTCAGGAAATTCAACTTATAAGTGAATCTAATATACACCTGAACATGAGCAGAAGATGTCCTCTTTAACGGTAGAAATGAAGAAGAAGAAGAGATAGAAAATGGCTGCTTCATTCTGTTGAGCAGAAGGGAGGAGAAACATTCAAACATTTCAGTTTCCTTTTCTTCTGCCTCTTCTTCTTCTTCTTCAGAGTCTGTAAAAGAGTGAAACCTCAACGCACACACACCACAACACTTCCTGTCAACACACACTCTGCTTCTCTTTTAACACAAATCAACGCCCCTCCTCTCTCTCCTCTCATGTTGGGAAACAATATGAAAATAAAGTTAATTTTCTCTGACAGTGTTGTTCCTGCGCCTCGACACGACGTGACATCTCCTATTACAGAGGATTCTTTGTAAGTGTTCGACAGAGTGTGTGTAAATGTGTGTGTGTGTGTGTGTGTGTAATGTGTGTGTGTGTGTGTGTAAATGTGTGTGTGTGTGTGTGTGGTGTGGTGTGTGTGTGTTGTGTGTGTGTGTGTGTGTGTGTGTGTGTGTTGTGTGTGTGTGTGTGTGTGTGGTTGTGTGTGTGTGTGTGTGTAAATGTATGTGTGTGTGTGTGTGTCTTACTGTCAGATAGGAAAGGAGTCTGACACAAACACCCGTGTGTGTGTGTGTGTGGTGTGTGTGTGTGTGTGTGTGTGTGTGGGTGTGTGTGTGTGTGTGTGTGTGTGTGTGGTGTGTGTGTGTGGTGTGTGGTGTGTGTGTGTAAATGTGTGTGTAAATGTGTGTCTTACTGTCAGATAGGAAAGGAGAGTCTGACACAACACCAAATGTGTGTGTGTGTGGTGTGTGTGTGTGTGTGGTGTGTGTGTGTGTGTGTGTGTGTTGGTGTGTGTGCAGATAGGAAATGAGAGTCTGACACAACACCAAATGTGTGGTGTGTGTGGTGTGTGTGTGGTCTCTTCATTAACACGTCGGCTCCTCCGCTCTGAGGTGACACATTAGAACGTTCTGGAAATTCTGCTCTGGCATTCATTAGCATAGATTTACATGCTAACGAGCAGAGAGGAGAATGGAATAAAAACACTTGTTTAAATTGAAGGAGAGATGGTGCATGACGCTGGAATGGAAGTTGTGAAAGAAATAAACAATAAGGACGAAGAAAAAGAGAGAAATAACTGAAAAAAGGAAGGAAACAGGAAGGAAGTGAGGGAGGAAGGAAGGAAGGAAGGAAGGAAGGAAGGAAGCTGTCAGCCACTAAAGGAAGGAAGGAAGGGAAACAGGAAGGAAGTGGAGAAAGATACACTGAAACAAAAAAAAAGAGAGAGTGTGAAAGAGTTTTAAAAACAGCCGAGAACACACACACGACAGAAGTACCCACACACTCACTCAACACACACAACACACACACACACACACAACTCCTGTAAGCGTTTTAGACACATATTGATACACACTGTTTTATAATCCTGTCAGCTGCAGATACTGTGAACACACACACACACACCACAGTTCATGTGTGTGTGTGTGTGAGAGGAAATGAAACAGCAGAATGAGTCTGAAATGTGTCTGTGTGTGTGTGTGTGTGTGTGTGTGTGTGTGTGTGTGTGGTATATGAGCAGTTGTGAAGGTCACTCCTGTTGAGAAGCACTGCTAGACACACACACACACCGTTTCACACACTCTCTCTGTCTCTTCTCAGAATAACAAACAGGAAGTGGTTTTACTTTTACAGAACTAACGTGTGTGAAACGTTAACAGTGACATTGAAAGTGGCCGAAAAGCAAAAAGAACTACAGAAGCTCCAACAACACCAGAGTTATTATTCAGATGTTTTATTTATCGTGATCAATATTCAGTTCAAGTAATTTAATTCAT